GAACATTGTTCTTGGTGCCTCCTGACATTTAGCGGTTGTGGCAGTGTCCCGGGGAGTTGAGCTCTGAGGTGTTGTCGTCACAATTTTATCGTTGCAGTTCTGGAATACCTGAGTTTCACCGACATCGAAAATCTCTTTTATGCAGTTCTTGGTGAGATAACCTCGACGCCAACCAGTACTGGGGCAGGAGTTCGGGAGTATTTCCATAACTCGTATAACGGATGCTTTTCGAAGGTTGAGGTAAACGATTTTCGAAGGTTTCTTGGTTATGTGTTGAAGGATGGATACAGCTGGATGTAGGATTTGTTAGTTTTGAGATATTATGCTTCCCCTGTATCCCCAACACCTGATTGCATAACCAGAAAGTTTCGGAAGTTTATAAGTGGGAATTCAAGTAGCTCCTAGGATATCTTTCTGACAGATGCATGATATGAGATTGGGGTTCGACGTCTAGTGGTCCGCCTATCCACGGTTGGTTTTACAGTGGTCTCGTTGTGTCTTAAAGAGTCCTTGGCTATGCTGACTCGAGGACGCTTCGTACGTCATGTGCACTGCCTTGTACAAGATGGTGCTGTACGATCGAGCCCGTGTGGGCCCCACCACGAAAACTTCGGACGAAGTCTCTATCATATGTTTGTTCCGGCATATTATGCAAGCCAATCCTTTGTTTTTGTTTTGGTTTGTGGTATTTGAGTTGCTTCAATGTCAAGTGTTGATTCCATACCTTTTCCAAGCGTTGTTCTCATATTTCTATGTGAATACTAATCCTTCATGATAATCGATATTTTCATGTTAATTCTTTTCAACTGGCGTGTTTCTCTTCAAGTGGATCAATCATTTTCAACATTCACAACATCAAGTCTAAGTATTCTCAACGGTGTTTGTTTCATTCGTCCCAAGTTCCCTTTATTTTCCCACCCGCCCACCCTTGTTTCTTCAGGGACTCGGATTTCTTGATCAAGTATCCATTTGATTCTTGTGAAGTTTCTTCTTTCCTTTCCTTCAATGTTCTTACCTGGTGGTTCTCATGAAGATGTTCTACAAGTTCAACATTCTCCATTCTCTTTTCTTCTCAGATGGATCCAATTCAAGCTTTGTTGATCATATCATTTTCCTTGTTTCAAATACCTTCTCATGCCTGTGCACCTCATAATCATTCACTTCTCGCTATTCATTTGTTCGGGAGTGCTAATGATATCTCAGAAGATTCAAGTTTTCCATTCTCAATTCGCTCAAGTTCTTTCGAGGATGTTATCTCATTCAAGCTATTTAATCCAACTGGTGCAATCTCTCTTCAAGAACATTCCAACGATGTTTCTCTTGAGTGGGTCCTAACCCACATGTCTTTTTCCAGGATCTTACCTGACTCTTCTTGTTTTCCCGGAGCTATCCTTAAATTCTTTCAAAGGGTGATGTAAGAATGGATTATCATCAGTCAAATGTCTTTCACCAAGATCTTCCAAATTCTTTACATCGTTGGTTCAACCTTTCTATTCGTCATCCCAGAGTATCTCAACAATTCATGGTGGTGTTTCTCATCGTCATTCTCTACTTTTGAAGACCGAGGAAGAGTTCCCCTTAAATCTTATCCGTTCTTTCAAAGATTCGTGATTCTAGCGTGATGTCATCCTCACAATTATTTTCGATTGTGAGATATGCTTTTCACCTATCTGGAGCAATTCAAGATTCTTTTCAGTTTGATTCTCCGAAGGCCATCAATTCAGGTTTATTCATTCTCAGCTTTCAACTATTTTTCTCCAAATCTTACCGGTGCATCGTTCAAGTGTTCTCTAATCAGTTCATGATATCCTTGTTCGCTTGTATCTAAATTTCATCAAGTATCTTCATTCGTTTTTCCAATTCTCCCCGGTGTTTCCTTCTCTTTTCTGCGTTCTTTTTCTATTCTTATGGTGGTTCGTTCAAGATTCTTTTCCTCTTGTTATCATCAATTCATTTGTATTTCTCAAGCCCTACCGGTGGTTCGTTGAAGAACTTTCTCAAGTTTGCTCTATATCTATCTTAATCCTTTCAATGAGAATAAGTAGTACGCCAAATCTGTTGCTTGTCATCAATTTAAATTGGTGAAGGATAACCATAATGTAATTCTTATTCTTCGTTCATCCAAGTGATTAAGTCCTTATTCCGGAGGTTCATCAAAATTCTTGATTTCTTTTGTCCATCTTTCTTTTCCGGAGTTCCAAGTTTTTTCTGCATTATCTTGTCACGAAGCTCCATCTAAATCATCGCAAGGCTTCACCTTATGTTCTCCACTTCTCTTTCTTTCTATCATCCTTTTTTACTAGAGTTCTTCATGGAGGCTCTACACGGTGGTTCATCAAGGATTCTTCTGATTATTCATTTGTTTGTCAAGATTTCTCTCGAAGCTATAATCCGCCAAGCTATACTTCAAGTATTCTTCATCTTGCATTCCAAAGTGCAATTCTTTCTATCTTATTTTTTCAGATGGTGTTATATCTTTCTTGACAATTTTCCCTTCATGTTTCATGATTCAAAAGTTGTCAGGAATGAGATATTTAAAACCATCACTTTCTTCCTTGGAGTTATCTTGGTATAGTTTTCACCTAAAGCCTTACATTGGGAATGTTGCTCCTTGTGGTGATTACCTATGATCCAAGGTCTCTTATCACCTCGGTGGAAGAAGCTTTTGTATTTTCTAGCTCCCAATCAAATCTTTTCTGTGAGTGGAAGGTTATCACCTCATAATTTTGAGATGTGTTCCATAAGCCCATGTCAAGCTTATCCTTTCGTTGTTCATAATCAAACAACTCCGTTCTAGCATTTGTTGTAAGCGTGCTCTCTCAAGATCTTGTTTTCCATCCGTTCATTCCGATCCATTCTTTCTTTCTTCCAGAGGCTTTGTGATGTTGCCTTTTTCTCTCATCATCTCGAATTGTGAAGATCATGTTCTTTCTTTTGCTTATCTATTCAACCGGAGTGTCATGTCCTTCATTCAAGTTCTCTCTTCTTATAAAGTTTTGCCTCCCTTCTCAACCGGAGTGTTGTCTGAAATCTTTCTTAACCCTTGTGTCATTCTGTCGATAGTTTCAGAGGCAGTGTGTTTTTGATTTCATCAAGTATCCTCTCATCTTGTCAAGTTCTTGTTAATTCCTTCCATTTGCAGTCGGAGTGCTGTCCAAATTACATCATTCTTTTCCCTTCTCTATCTTGTTTAACCGAAGTGTTGTTGTAATTGATCCTTATCATTCCTTATACATCTCGTCTCTACCGGAGTGCTTGCATGTACTCCTTGTCCATTGCAACCCTTTTCTTATGTCTTTCAACCTACAAGGTTCTGGTAAGGTTCCTTGTTCCTCTTATCTAACGGCATGTTTTCCACTTTGTTCACCTTCGTTGTATTCTTTCTTTCAATTTGTTCAACCTCTCAAGGTTCGTGGTTTCACTCGTTTGTCAAAGAAGCAATTAGTTCTACCTCTTCTCTTCCTCTTCCGTTTCTCTCTCGTGCCATCCTAGATCTCGGGACGAGATCCTCTCGTAGTGGTGGAGGGTCGTGACGCCCCGAGACCATTGCGCCAGGTGTCTCCCAGTTATTCGTCGTCGTTGCCATGTCATTTGCCTGCGTGTTTCATTTCATCATGTCATCATGTGCATTGCATCATCTTGTTTTCAAAACTTGCATCCGTCCGGGTTCCCCAGTTCCGTCCGTTGTCCGTTCTGAGCCCAGACACACTTGCACGCGCCCGCGGCACGTCCGAAATACTATTTTATAAGTGGCCGGAAAATATTCTCGGAATGGGTTGAAAGTTGGTGTGCGGTATTTTTTTGTTGTTAGTAGGTCACCTGCCAAGTTTCATCGCATTCGGAGTTCGTTTGATAGCCCAACGGATAACTATAGCGACAATATAGTCGGTCAAACGTCGGACGTTTTTGGTCTCCGGAAACAGATGCCGGGTCTCTCTCCTCTCTTCTCTTAGCCCAAGGCTTTCTGCACAGCCCACTAGCACTCACCGCCAGGCCCAACCTAACCTCTCTCGTCAGCCCACGGCCCTCCTCGCGCCCGTTCGAAAGTTGTCCCGAACCCGACCCGGGCAGTCATCACCGTTGGGTCCGGATCATCCCCTAACATCTACAAAACATCTCCATTTTTCTTTTTGGACTCCCTACCTATTTGTTTCTGGACCGTCCGATTACGATCGAAGGGTCTATTCTAACAACACCCCTTAAGTCCTTATTCTGCACATCAACCGTCCTATTTTGATAACACCTCACTACCCGCGAACTGAACCACAACAAAAAATCCCACGCTCACCTTCACCCCACCTCCCTCATGACAACCACCTCGCCCACTCCCCTGATTCCAAACCCCACCTACCACCACCTTCTACCGGAGTGCCACCCCAGGCCGCCGCCACCCCACCCCACCCCTATCCTCCTTCTACCGACGCCGTTGCCGAAGCACCTCCCAAGGTCGCTACCCCGCCGCCCAGCCCCCGTCCACCTCCTACCAGTGCCGCCACGCCACACCTTTCGGCCACCCGCATCCCGGCTCCGATGGATAGGGGCTCCCCGCACCCCGCCACAACTGGCCGCGACCTTCAGCACCTCGTCGGCAAGCTATGGTGGTCCTCATGCCCCACATGGCACCTACCACCACTAGACAGATCCAGGCCACGGCAGCCACCCAGTGCCAGATCCAGGCCACGGCGGCCCCCCACCGCCGGATCCAGGCCATGGCGGCCCCCTCACAACGCCCTGCCGCCGGATCCGGTACCCCACATTGCCCCTCCGCCAACCAGCGGGTATGGCCTTCCCGTCCATGCGCCTCCACAACCACCCCGCCATCCCACTTTGGGCCTCCTATGGTATGCTTCGTCAAGCTACCGGCGGCGGCACCGTGCAGTCCATTGCATGGAAGCATGCAGCATGCCCATCTCGCCATTGGGAGGGCAAGTGTTGAGTGGTTTGGGTAGTGCTCCACTGCAGGTCGGTTGCTGGAGGGACGGCGGTGGTAACCTGCGGAGATGGGAGTTCGATGCCTGGTGCTGCTCCTACGCCCTCCTCTTCTGCCCTTCGTCCACCCTTCTTCTCCTCCAAGGATAGGTCCGGTGAGCCTCCACCTCGACTCCCAACTCTACAGGTCCAACTTTGATGCGTGTGACCTTCTCTGATGTGTGCCTCACCCACTAGTGGGGCCCCACATCGCCGGCATCAGCCTCCAACAAGTAGTGGCCCGAGCGTCCCCTCCCCTCCCCAGCCGGCAACTTCCAAAACGCCCCTTTCCTCTCTAAGCAGGTAGCCAAGCCAGGTGAGAAAAATGGACATGGCCACTGTATCCATGCTTTGCGTGCTGTGGTGCGCCCCTCCACCATGTGCAGTCCGGTTTTCTTCCAATAAGAGTCATCGTTCTCGAGCGCGAGCTCCTACTCTCCTCCGCTGTTTTGGGCTGGATGCCTATCACACCTAGAGTGAGCTACCGTGGCGTCCGGCTCTGCTGTGTAGTCCGCATCGCCAATGAAAAGCGTGCCCCCCGTTCCTTTTCTCCGTGATGAGCAATGCAAGGTCGTCGCTGGAGCAGTATGCTTGCCTCATCTCTCGCTAACCACTGCATCCCTTGCCAGCAGTTTGCTATGTTTCTCTCTTCTGTTCTTTGTGTATGAAAAATGGACTAACTTTTCTTTAATAGTTTGACCTTTCATGTTTTAGATTTTTGCTGTGCTCCCGGATGTGCAGTGCAGTGCACCCGAATCCCGTGAGCAGTGCGTCGTGCGCCGTGGTGTGGTTTATCCACGACAGCGTGCGGTGTCCATGTGCATTTTTGCAGTTCAGTGGATGGATGTTTCAGTGTCTTATGTTTATTGTCGTGCCTGTGGGGATGTATGCATGTTTGTAAAATGGGTGTGCCCGCGGTCCAGCGTGCTGCTAGCCTCCACTATGCAGTACGACTGGGCGTGCCATGCGGTTCGACAGTGCTCTTATACACTTTGCTGATTTTGTGATTTCTAAAGAGAAAAAATGCAAATGAAGTACGCTATGGTTTGCTATTGAGGTTCATTTTACTCATTTTAGCAGGAAAAGATGAAGTGATGCAGTTCTGTTGAATTTCCCATAACTTAATTTTGTTGTTGTTGAAAACTCCACTTCATTAGTTCATTGTAAAAACTACAGCCGTGTAGTCCACAAACCACGGCCGTGCAGCTCAAACAAGCCCGCAATGAAGAGTCGTGCTTATGTCTGTGATATTCGATGAACACAAGTGCACTGCAGCTCCTGTATGGTGGACTACGGAAGGTGTGGTGCGGTTGATGGACTGTTGAAGTTTGCCTGGGTCGTCGCTGCAGTACGGCTAGGTGTCGAAAGCTATTTTTTTGTTGATTTTTCAGGTTTTCAGAGACTACAACTCATTATAAAAAATGTGGCATCTAGTTCCCTTTGTAAAAAGCAATTTGTATGGCACCCATTTACTTTGCTAAGTTGTCTGACGTTGTTCAGAACGCTAAAAAAATTGTATAAAAATGCACTTCATTAGTCTCCTCTCGGAGTGAGTGATGAAAAGACAAAAATTATGCAGCTCGCTTGCCCGTCCGATGCAGTGTGGTTTTCATTCTGAAGCGGTGTGGATGGTCGTGTGATGTTGTTCATCCCGTAAGTGCAAAAAAATTGTTACGGAAGCGAAAAAAAGTAATGTGGTTAACTTCTTGATAGTGTTGTGGTTCATTTAAAACCGATCTGAAGTGCACTCTACTTTCTCGTCCTTAAAAAAATTACGTTTGAATAAAAGAAACCATGCAGTTCTCTTACCCGTCAGATGCAGTGCGGTTTTTCGTCCGATGCAGTGCGGTTTTCAGTCGGTTGAAGTACCCACATCGATTTGGGTGTCGCGAAAAACAGAGTGTCCGCATTTTGGTAAATTTAAAACTGCTCTTAAACCGTAAGGAATTAGAGAGAGTGTTCTATATGAAAAAGTTGTGTCTCGTCGATATCTTTCCAACGGCATATAAATTTAATCATTTCGACGACCGGTTTGTAAAAATTTCGTGAAAAATGGTCGCTGCCATTTGTCGTCTGCCACACGATTTTCAAAATTAACTTAAAACTGTAAGGAAACTCAAAACTATTTCTACATGTGAAAGTTGCGTATTGTCCATAGCTTTCCAATGACATATTACACGCCTTGTTTCGACAAACGGTTAAAAAAGTAGAGCGAAAACAGTACTGAAAATTTGAAAAACAGAATTCCGTGATTTAGTAAATTTGAAACTGCTCTTAAACCGTAATGAATTAGAGAAAGAAATACATATGAAAAAGATGCGCCTCGACGATATCTATCCAATAGTGTATCATTTTCTTCATTCCGACGAGTGGTTTAGAAAAAAATGCGAAAAGGCTCGCTGCCACTCATTGTGGGTCGCACCATTTTCAAAACCGCTCTTAAACCGTGAGGAATCTCGAAAAGTGTTCAACATGGAGAAGTTGCGTCTAATCCATAGCTTTTCAACGATATATTACACGCCTCGTTCCGACAAATGGTTTAAAAACTAGAGCAAAAACAGTACCAGAAAAAATACTACGTGCAGTTTTTTGTCACAGGAAGTTCACTCGCTTCAGTACTCCAGAGCTCTAGCTAAAGAAAGTGCAGTGCCCTCGCGTTGAGCATGCAGTACGGAAGTGTTATCAGAATAGTTATTCTGATAATATTATCAGAATAG